AAAAACAAATAATACAAAACAAGAAATTATCAACAAAGAAAAAAAACAATAGAGAAAAAAAACAAACCCCCGCGGAGGGCCCCCCGAAAGGATGCCATAAACTACATTAAATGTTCAAGTTGGTTACCCCTTCCCTTACTCGTTTGATGCATGACCTTTGAACGTACTGTATGTAAAAGATCATTCCATAATATAAATCCTTGCTACCCTCTCGTGAATTCATTCATTCATTCATTCATTCATTCATTCATTCATTCATTCATTCATTCATTCATTCTCTCATGGACTTTTTGCTGAAAAAAAGAGAAAGGTGAACTTGTGATTTACGGGTTTAAAGATTAGAAAGAGTAGCTTATGGAAAGAAGGAAATTATGATGTAACCTCCACCCCGCGTGCTGAAAAATGTTGTGTCCATCCTTCGTATCAATAAACGGGGTGGGGTGGGGGGAATGGACGCGGGTGAAAAAGCAACTCGTAGCCATCCATCTCTATAGTTCGGAGGCCCTGATTTACGCCAGAGCAGTCAGCGGGGATGTCATGTACGTGTGTTTGAAAAAGAGCAAACAATTTACACTGCTGAGAGATTCCTCTGAAAAGTCGCTTCGGCCCCTTCCCTCCCATTGCATGTTGTAACAGTGTAATGGAAGAAGCTGTCTCTTATTTATACACTGCATTCTTCAGCTTTAGTCAAAATAAGCCTAAGGGGTTCAGTAGCAACACTGTGCTTTGTCAACCAGGTTTCACAGGAGACGGGGGAAAGAGACAGTCAAAGCCTGCGTTTAGTAACCGTTCCTTCAGATGGGTCTTCTCGGTGCTCCTATGATTGATTTTAAAAAGTCATCTCTATGGATTGTTGCTTTGCAAATGGCCTGGCTCTGGTCGATCAAGGCTGTTTGGAAGGCAGAGACTTGCCCCAGGCTTTGTAATATGAAGGTGCCTCGTCCAACTCTGGCTCAGCATTTGCAATCCCAGAGTCATAGAGCCCTAGAATCGTAGAATCATAGTCATAGAGTCATCAAACCCTAGAATTGTGGAATCCTAGAATCGTAGAAGCATAGAATCATAGTCACAGAGCCCTAGAAACTTAGAATCATGGAATTGTAGAACCCTAGAATCATAGTTATACAGCCCTAGAATCATAGAACCCTAGAATCATAATTATACAGCCCTAGAATCATAGAACCCTAGAATCATAATTATACAGCCCTAGAATCATAGAACCCTAGAATCATAATTATACAGCCCTAGAATCATAGAACCCTAGAATCATAATTATACAGCCCTAGAATCATAGAACCCTAGAATCATAATTATACAGCCCTAGAATCATAGAACCCTAGAATCATAATTATACAGCCCTAGAATCATAGAACCCTAGAATCATAATTATACAGCCCTAGAATCATAGAACCCTAGAATCATAATTATACAGCCCTAGAATCATAGAACCCTAGAATCATAATTATACAGCCCTAGAATCATAGAACCCTAGAATCATAGTTTTAGAGTCATCAAACCCTAGAATTGTGGAATCCTAGAATCGTAGAAGCATAGAAGCATAGTCACAGAGCCCTAGAAACTTAGAATCATGGAGTTGTAGAACCCTAGAATCATAGAACCCTAGAATCATAATTATACAGCCCTAGAATCATAGAACCCTAGAATCATAGTCACAAAGCCTAGAATCCTAGAATTATAGAACCATAGAATCATAGTCACAGAGTCATAGAGCCCTAGAATCTTGGGTTGGATCTTTCTTCATCCAGTGCGGCTTGTTCTAATCTGGTACTCTCCAGGTGTCTCCCATGGGAATTCCATGGGGGTTGGCTGCCTAGGAGTTCTCCTGGCAAGATAACTGGGGAGAGCCCAGGTTAGCCAAGACAATCCTAGTGTGTTTCACTGGGTTCTTCTATGTCTTATGGACCTCACCTTTTTGTGTAACTCCAAATTCTCACTCCCCTTCTGAGAGCTCTAAGAGGATATTCCCCCTTAAGGTTTCCACACGTGATATCAAACGGGGGATGTAGTATGACTGCCTGGAGAAAGATCTGCCCCTTTTTAATCCAGGCATTGACCTTCAGTTTCAGCACCTTTAAGAAACCTGCAAGATTTACAGCCCCCAGGAGAAAGGGGGAAGCGTTTTGCTCATCTCCTCTTCTCCGTCAAAGCTGTCTCGTCGCTTTGTGTTGCCAAATCTCAGTCTGATCCTCCACAATGCCCTCCCACCCCCCCTTTTCCCCCCTCTGAGCTGAATCCCGGTTTAGAAGAACCGGACAGTTGCAAGCTCTTCTTGTCTGCAGAAGATTCGTGTGGATTGCTTCAGATAAATATCTGCAGGCACATTCTTTCGACTCTTCTTGTGGCGGAGCAGAGCGCTGACAGCACGCAGCCTCCCTCGAGAAGCACACTTGCCTCCTCCGAAATGGAATTACATTATTAGTACCTGTAAGGATTAGCTGTGACATCGGCATTGTCTTTCTGACTTGGCCACCCGCGTTTTAGTTTGTCTTCTGGAGGAGCTGTCACTTCGGCGCACAATATTTGTGCATTCTTTCCATTTCTCTCCACTAAAATGGGAGGATCCCCTTTGCCATTGAAGAGGGGGGTGGAATCCTGCCTACAAATTATCCGTATTAAATCGTTGGATTGTATCTGAAGGTGCTTCTCCTACCCCCATTTTCTGCTGTCAGGGGAGCTTTCTTTAAAAAAAAAAGAAAAAAAGTTTTGTTTGCTGAAGGAAGTCCCTCTCCTGCATAGCCTCCTTTCTCTCTTTAGGAAAAGAGAGGACGTTTTTATTTCGACAGGCTCTAGCTTGCCCCGGGGCGGTGGTTTCAGGCCAAAATGATCTTTTATCTGTGGTCTCTTCCTTTGGCTGTGCTATTAATGGGTTGTTATAGTCTCTGATGTGATTTTTTAATTGGGTGCTGCAATCCTGGGTTGCAAGGATGAGTTTGGGAAGGGGCACGCGGTTTTCCTCGTGCTGCTTTGCTTGATTACGTGCCCTCAAGTCAGTGTTGGCTCTTCCAAACCATGGAGATAGATGTTCTCCAAGATGACCTGTCCCCCGCCTGGTCCTTCAGGTCTTCTGGTGGTGGCATTTTCTTTAGAGCCCTGAAAATATCCCTCATTTCTGTTGCTTCTATAGTGGCTTGCACAGACCAGTGGTAGAATCCTACTCCTGTTTTCAGAAATAAGCCCAACTGCTGATGTGTTTAGAGTAGTTGCTGGAACTTGTAAAAATATTTTAAAACCTTTAAAGTCCTCTTTGAGAAGCATTTATTAGCTCAAGGGGAGCATTTAGCGCAGCGTTTCTCAAACTTGGCAACTTGAAGACCTGTGGACTTCAACTCCCA